TGGATGCTAAAAGAAAGCCTAGAGTCTCATGTACCTGCAATGTGCCTGGCTAACACACATCACTCTCTGATTGGCACTTTCCTCCTGTCTGCTCTTCTGGATATTCATTATATATAGTCAAAGAAATCCTATGGAAATATTGAGAAGAGTGAAGAGAAGAGTGTTTGATCTACAGTAAGGATGCCACTTCCACCTCCAACCATCCCATGTAGAAATTACTTCTTCTTAGCCTTCAAGGAGTCATTCTGTACACAGACAGACAGGCATATGATTTCTTAAAAATAAAGTCATGAGTTAATGACATCCAGCACAGAAATGAAAATTCAATCTTTTTTTCCAACATAAGAAAAATCCTTTCATGAACAAGGTTATTGCAAATTACCCAGTAAATCCTACTTAAGAGGTGGAATTTTAGACTTTTTTCCTGAGGTTTGTTTTCAGCTACCTAATCAGGAAATGTCTCTGTATAACACTTGATTTTGAAATAAAATGAGCTAAAATAAAAATATTACTAAAGGTTGATTGTTACATTTTCTTTAGTTAATAGAATAAATATCGTTCTATAGCCATGAAGAGGAGCTCTGGTAACATAGTGCCTAAGGCACTTGACTGCTAACCAGAAGCTGGTGGTTCAAACCCACCAGCCACTCCTTGGAAGGAAGGTTAGGCAATCTACTTCCATAGTGATACTGCCTTGGCAACCCAAGGAGGGGTCGCTATGAGTCGGGTCCAACTCGACGTCACATAACAACAACAACAACATAGCCATGAAGAGTTGCAAGGAGCTGTATGTCAGAAATAGATTTCCTTAAACATAAATTTTTAAGTAACTCTTTTAGGGATATCCTTGCTCTGGAACTCCTAAAAAGGACCTCTGGAGGTGCATTGGTTAAGTGTTTGGCTGCTAACCAAAAGGCTGGCAGTTTGAACCCATTTTATCCCATGGGAGAAAGATGTGACAGACTGCTTCCATAAAGATTTACAGCTTAGGGAACTCTATGGGCAGTTCTGCTCTATAGGGTTGCTATGAGTCACAATTGATTCAAATGCAGTAGGTCTGGTTTTTGGTTTTTTGAAGCTCATAAAAAGCTCTGTGGTGTAGTGGGTAAAGCATTTGGCTGCTAATCAGTAGGTCAGCAGTTCAAACTCACCAGCTGCTCTGTGGGAGGAAGATGAGGTAATCTACTTTCATAAAGATTTATACCCTTGGAAACCCATTGGGGGCTGCTATGAGTCAGAATCGACTCAATGGCAGTGGAATTGTTTAGCTAAACATATAGCGTAGAAATTGAGTAATTATTCCACTAAAAAAAATCCACCTCACTGCTGTCAAGTTGAATCCAATTCATAGTGACCCTTCCTTGGATTTCCAAGGTGGTATTTCTACAGAAGTACCTTGCCCAGTCTTCCTTCTAAGAATTAGTCTATATACTGATATAAATATTCTCTCTAGAGAGTAAAAATCTAGTTTCTTCTTAGTTTTATAAAATTACTGGTTTCATTAGTTGATTACATTAGTTGATCTTGGGCAAGTCACCTAACAACTCTGACTTCATTTATAACAATGAAGTTGAATATTACCTACTCCTCAAAACACTTTTGGGACTCAATGGTAATAACTATGACCATCTACAGGGCCAGGATCAGGTGGATGAGTGCTTTAAGCTCACAACGTTTTCCATTCTCTTTTCCTTTAAAATTCAGAGCTCTTAAATATTAGGGTCAGTAAAAGAGTCAGTTTATCAACTATAATTACTTGAGGTGAAATGGAGTGCCTCCTCTAGAGAAGCATCTACAACAGAATACTAATTGCTTCCATCACCCAAGGACTCCCACATTTCCTTTCTCTCCCACATAAACTTCATTAAGAACACATGTTCATTAAAGTAAGCTATTTAACTTCATTTCTAAAATTTGGCATGATATAGACCACTATTCCTTGATACACGATAATATATAGGATGATTAATTTTCAGGATCTGTTAGAGATGAGGCAAAAGGAATTCACACAGCTTCAGAAGAAACTCTGATGAGACATCAGAAGGAACTTTCTGACACTTAGAGACTGTTAAACCTTGGAGAAGCAGGACACAAATGGATGTGCAATGTCTTCTTTTACTTGAAACAGTTGAGAGGTAAAGAGAGTTGAATAAATAGAGCCTACATATAGACAAAAGGATAGAAGGATTCATCTTTTAAGTGTCCTCTGACTAGCACTCAGCTAATTCTTATTATCATTCATGGTCTTGTATATGCTTGTGAGTTCCCTGTTTATGCCCAAAAATGCCACATATGCCTACCAATTATAATCTATAGCGGCGTGTTATAATTTTCATGCTGTCTTCTCTTTTATCCCAAAGTCACTAAGTTGGTTTTCATTCATTCATTCATCCTCTGGTACCTGATGAGTTAAAAGTGTCCCAAGAAAGAGGTTGCTTTCTAAGAAATGTCTTCCTGTTCATCCTTCAACATGGCAGCAAAATGCCACATGCTTTTTTTCTTAGCTTCTCCATAGCTGTCTTCAAATCAGCATTTCTGAGTGTGTAGATGAGGGGGTTCAACAAAGGTGTGATTACTGTATACAATACAGAGAATACCTTATCCACAGAGAAGCTGCAGAAAGGCCTCAGGTAGATGAATACACATGGCACAAAGATCAGGCTGACTACTGTTAGGTGAGAGGCGCAGGTAGACAATGCCTTGCTCTGGCCCTGACGGAAGTGAGTCCTCAGGGTCATCAAGATTATAGCATAGGAGAATAGCAAGACCAAGAAGCAGATGAGAGATAGCAAACCACTATTGGAGACCATCAGCACTTCTACCACATAGGTGTCTATGCAGGCCAGCTTGATGACCTGTGGAACATCACAGTAGAAGTTGTCCAGTTCATTGGGACCACAGAAGGGCAGCTGGATGATGAGTATGACCTGTGTGATAGAGTGGACGAAGCCACCACACCAGCAGGCAAGAACCAACTGAGGGCACAGCTGGCGATTCATGACAGTCAGGTAGTGCAAAGGATTACAGATGGCAACATACCTATCATAAGCCATGACTGTAAGCAGAAACATCTCACTGGCTCCCAGAAAGTGGAGCGAGTAGATCTGGGCCAGACATCCTGAAAAAGAGATGGTTTTGCCCTGTCTTAGAAAATCCCCTAACATCTTGGGCACAGTAACACAGCTCAGGCATAAATCAATGAAGGAGATATGGCCCAAAAAATAGTACATGGGAGATTGGAGCAGATGGGCATCAGCTCGCACTATCACCACTATCAAGAGGTTTCCCAGTATAATAGTGATGTAAAACATCAAAAATAGTAAGAATAGAAACAGCTGCAGCTCCCAAGAGGATGACAGACCCAGGAGAACAAATTCTGATACCTTAGAGCCATTTTCTTTTTTCAAACCAGGAATACCAAGTGACCTACAGAAGAAAAAATAAATAAATTGGAACAAGAGGGACTTATGTAAGACAAAAGACAAATATATATGTTTTGTGTGTGTATGTGTGTGTGTGTGTGTGTATACACACACACATATATATAGCAGTGTTATATATATATATATATATATATATATATATGTATGTATATATGTATGTATATATATATATGTTATCAGATTATAGAATCACATTCCGATATGAAAAGAACTTATGTTATGAGAAGTAGAAAGTATACATAACAAGGAAATTTTGTATCTCTGACAAATCTTTATTTCTGTAATGATTTTTAATTACATTTACAATACACTATGAAAGGAGATAATGGTCTGGACATGAAAGTGATTACAGCATGTGGACTTTACCTTTTTTTAAAATAGAAATACAGGATAATATCTTTCAAGGATAAGAGTTCTAGAATGAAGAATCTAGAGTCTATACTTTGCTCTAGTCCTCACCAATGGAATGACCCCAGACAAAAGATTATACTTCTCTATTATTCTTTGTTTATTCAATCTAATGTAGGAATGATGATGTTTCACAAGGTCATTTAGAGAATCAGATGTAATATGTCTATGAGCACCAGAGTATTTAATTGACTGAGCTTCTCAATGTGAGGAAATATTTCTTACTCAACTTTATACTCCATTGCAGTGTTAGCTGCAGACCTAACATGTTGCCATTGAATTGATTCTGACCCTATAAGACAGAATAGAACTGTGCCATAGGCTTTCTAAGGCTGTAATCTTCAGAGAAGCAGACTGCAACACCTTTTTTCCCTGTACAGTGGCTGGTAGGTTCAAACCACTGATCTTTTAGCTAGCAGCCCAGCACTCAACTATTGTGCCACAAAGATTCCTTTACTGCATTGTAGAAGCTCAATAATTTATCATATTGAATGAAGTTGTTGTTGATATGTGCCATCGAGTCAGACTCGACTCATAGCGACCCCTCCTTGGGTTTCCAAGGCAGTATCACTATGAAAGTAGATGGCCCCATCTTCCTTCTGAGGAATGGCTGGTGGGTTTGAACCCCCAGCTTTCTGGTTAGCAGTCAAGTGCCTTAGGCACTATGCTACCAGAGCTCCCATTGAATGAAGAATACTTTGTAAATTATGAAGTGATATTTTATACAAATGTTAGTAGTTACTATATATACAGAGAGAGAGAAAGAGAGAGAGAGGAGAGAGAGAGAGAGAGAGATGGAAATTTAAATCACTTAGGAAAGACTAAAAAAGAAGTTCATGCCTCTATTATCCCAGGGCTCAGATTGGGGAAGTTTGTAAAGATAGGGTAAGAAATAAAATTTTTACCTTTAAAATATAAGGAAGCATCAGATTCAGGGTGAAAACAGTGGCTGTTACATACTATTCCCCAAGAGAAGAGACCAATGGGCAATATGCCATGTCATTTAAGTATGTACAAAAGCATCCCACCATGATCCATTTTATAGAAAATGATAAGAGAAATCACAATTATGCATTTCTGGATTTTCAACAACTACAAGTACACTTTAAGAAAAAAAAAATATATATGTTAAAACAGTCATCTTTCTCCTGCTATACATTCACCTCCAGCATTGAGTGGGAATACCTTGGATCACAAATTAAAAAATAAAGGACCATTGATAATTTTTTTTTCCATTGACGTGATTAAGAATAAGCAGGTTCCCCTCTGTCTAGATTAGGATATTTGTTGTCTAAAACAATCTCTAGAAAAAATATGAAGTGAGACAGAATTTGTTTTGTCTGAAGATTGGGCAATCTACGTATGCAGTGATACCACCTCGGAAAGCCAAGGAGGGGTCACTATGGGTCAGATCGGACTCAATGGCAGTGAGTTTGTTTTTTCGGTTTTCCAGTCCAGGAAAGATTATCTCATAAAGGCATTTATATCAAGGTGTCAGGGATTTACATAGAGAATGCAGAAAAGTACCTGAATTAAAAAAAAAAAAAAAAAAAATTCTTAATGCAAGAAATATCTCTAGGACATCATTTAAAGTGGGACAGAGATTTGGAGCCCAGAGAACTCTTGGATGCTTTTCTCACACCACATATCTGACCATCCCCTTCACCTAACTACAGAGCAGGTACATTGGTGTATCTGATTCTATAGACTCATAATTAATGGAAGGAATCACCTCACTCTCTAGAATCAATTGAACACAAAGCAATGTGAAAAATATAGGATTGGAAGTCATTTGCTATCATATATGCAGGTCTACTTGAGTTTTTATCTATTAAAAATTTTCAAATCTTCCTTGAGTATACCCAAAGATTGTAAATTTTCATGGGGAGATGATGTTCTGATATTCTTTTCAGTTATCTAAATTATCTAATTAACAGGGGTCAAACTTTCATTAGTAGTCTGTATCTAATTCCCAATGTCATATTGGGAAAACTGGAGAGTTTGAGAAAAAAACAACCAGAGTAATAAAAAGGTGGAAAAGAGATTTCTGAAAAGCAGAATCCATCTTCTATCATTTTTTTCTTAGCCTATGCATGAGTAACAACATGACTAGTTCTCACAGTGAAAGAGTTAATATGTGAAATGTGGTTGATTATATTGTACACTTGTTATTTACATAGGATATAGAGAAAGGAAGTTTGTATTAAAACAGACAAGATTAAAATTAAACAAATCAGAAGCATTGATTAAATAAGAGGAAATTGTTACAAACAAAAAAAATGCCACAAAATTACTACAAAACAAAATATTTTTCAGCCTTAGTCTATGAAAAGTTATATATTACTTTTTAAAGTGATATATAACACTAGTAAATTTCAATACAATAAATTTTTTAAATTGTTTCTAGGATGCTACTGTAATAGTATTTTGACTAATAGTGATACATCTTTATATTTTCATAAGATAAAAATAGACATCCCTTACCTTGGTTGGTTGATCGTAATCAAGGTAAGGACCAAATTCTGGTTGTTTTAGGATTTTATTACTGGCTTGAGGAATTTTCTGCCCTTAGATAATATGAAGGCATAATGTCTACCAATATGGACAGTTCCTTTTTGGTGTTAATAAAATTGTAACATTTAGTGGAGACATCTTCCAAAGTTATATTTTTCTGAGGCTTCTGATTACAGTAAGAAATTTGGCCGATGACTGTGAATAATGAAAACAGCTCTATATTCATCATTATGAATGAATGCCCGTCCAGCATCTCCCACAACAACAGTTTCTAATGTCAAATCACTCCAGGAGCCAGGGAAGCAATATTCAAGAGTGGCAACTTCATTATCATATTGCTAACAGCAGGATCAGGTCCAATCAAACATCTCATGCTTTACAACCTAAAAATAACCTAGAGAAATTATAAGTGGTAATAACAAAAATTAAGTTTGTCAAATAAGCTAAAGGAGTTGAGAATACTTAATAAGAAATGAAAGTGTCTATGATAGGGATCTATGCCTCATGGAATAAGAAGAGTATACAGTGAAGCTCTTTAAACATCAAGGGCTACTATGGACAGTCAAGCAGCTATTCTCTAGTTTTTCTAAGCAATAAGGAAAATACTGAGCAAGAGTAAAATTTTTCCCATTGGAGGTTTACTTTCTTTTAAAAACAAGCAAACATTAGAGAATATTACATTTTGGTATTTTGTCTACTGATTTTTATCTCTGTTGCACTGAAAGCATTCCGTTTTACAGGAAGACACTGGACCAAGGACAGAAAATGATGTGCTAGTTGGAATTTAAATTCCATGTGAAGTCCTTTTGGCAATATGTACTATGGTTTCTAATTTCTCCTGAAACACCAAGACATAGGCATCATTAGTTGCAAATGGAACGAGAGATGAAATTTTCTACTGAGAAAGACATAATCTTTCCTCTCTAAACATTTTTGGCTTTCTCTGGAATATCACATCTTAAGTTGCATTGTGAAGACTGGGTAGCATTTTGCTCTGTTGCACATAGACTCACTATGAGTCATAACTGACTCAACAGCACATAACAACAAAAAGAAAACAAATTGCATTGGTCAGGGAAGTGAAGAGAATTTAGTTTAAAAAACAACTAAAATAATTAAAGGAACAGAGAATAGGATCTAGAAGGGACTGTGGTAGAATTAGGAAGGCTTCAGAGAACATTAACATTAGTCCATTGCCATTTTTTATAAAGTCCCTATCTTATCCAAACCTTATAACCACCTACACTGATATCACCAGCCCTACACTTTGCTGATGCTATAAAAGAATTTCATTATTCTGCAAATGATTCTAAATGTGTCAACCTATAACAATAAAATTCAAAATATTTCCTAAATTTAAAACTGATGAATGTTAGAATATATTTTTTGAAAAGAGGTGGGATAAGGACAAGAGTCATAAAAATAGTATCAGAGACAGAAAGAAAGGCAAGGGTTTGTGTGACACTTTAAATGAACATGTCTGAGAAACTTAAATCATTACAAGTCAGGAGCTGCATGGTTTCAAGGAAGGAAAGTATTACCCTGCCATTCATCCCACCAGCCTCCTCTTCACAGTCTCAGGCCAACAAAATGAACAATCCTCAGATGACCATCACAGCTGCCCAGTCTGCACCCTACCTGCGTCCTTATAAGCCAAACCCTAATTAAGGGCTGGCTTTGTAGATTGGAAACTCTCTTGTCCCCAGGGATCTTGGATGTACCTGAGGTTTGTATCATCCTATACAATTGCTCAGACAAATGAACACTGAGATTCCCTAGCCTGTTGTCTGAATCTCTGAGTCTCAGTTCTTGCTGGAGAGCTGAACTGGGCCCTCCAAGCCTGGAATTAGTCCAAACTGATTGTATAACACAGTTCATTCCTTTTACTCACTTTGGATTGACTACGTTAACACTGTGTGTATAAAACCCCTTAATCACCTGAGTAGAATGATTCTTACTGTTTCCCATCTCAATCAGGCTCCCTTGAGTGAGGTAGGCAGGGGAGAAATGCCAACTTATCAGGATGTGTTACTTATCACTGGTGACTGGAATGCAAAAGTT